CTTAAAATACCCATAAAATTCTGAATAATGGAAATAATTCAATATGAAGAGCAGGTCCATATAATGTGGTACTCAAAGTTTACTGTGCATCAAAATCACCTAGGAGTCCTATCAAAGAGAAACTGCTGGGTCCAATGTCCAGAGTTCCCAATTCAACAGGTGGGACCCAAGAATTCGCATTTCTTAACAGGTTCCCAGGTCCTCATCTGGGGATCAAGTTTTAAGAACCACGAATGTACTGTACCTCATGACATAGATACCTGGTTTTGTTCAACACTTTGCTAGTAACCTTGTTAAATATGTAAAAAGCATGATTACAAATCTGCAGATGATATTAAATTTTGATATAAAAAGATCTCATATCCTAAAATTTAATAGGGATAACTTTAAAATCCCAAAACAAAAATAAACCATACAAGTGTAGGATAAGAAAATAGAGGTTATAATATGTCTCTCTCTCACATACACAAAGAGAGAGAGAGAATGATACAGAGGTTTTAGAAGACTACAGCTTCAATGACATAAGAGTATACTCTGGCAACCAAAATTGGTAATCACAGTTTAGGCTTTAGTAATCAAGTACAGAATATGATACAATGTATTTGATGGTCCAACTGCAGATTATATTGGTTCTCACACACGTGGGTATCTTTGTAGTCAATTTTGGGTACCAGACATTAAACAGAATGCAGTCAAATCAGTTTGTTCAGAGAAGACCTTTGGATCTATCACACGAGAACAGTCAGAGGAACTGTTGTCTGGCCTTCAGATTTAGAAGGACGTAAGAACAGTGCTCGCTTTGGCAGCACTTATATTATTAAGGATATAAGAACAGTTTTCATATAATTGGCTTGTGGCTGAGGACTTGTTTTTTCTCTGTATGACCCTAGGCAGAACTGCCACATACAGACTGCACTGGACTGCTTACTATATACGGGGGTCCAGCTGAGGAGAGGAGAGGGGAGGAAAGGGAGCGCTGCAATGTAGCTCACATTTCACTTGATAAGCCATGTGCCTTGGTGTGTGTTGAGTCCAGCTGGGAAAAGGGTAAACTTTTTCTAACTCATATAAAAGGGACAACTCTGGAGGACCTTTTCCTTTTAGTAGGGATCCCATTTCTAATTTGCACAAAGGCAGTGGTCACAGTGGCCAAGGTAGAACTAGCTCCATTAAGAGAAGTTTAGGAAACGTGAGTTCAGCTCACTTTAAGAAACTGGCAGAATGAGGGGCGCCTGGGTGGCTTAGTCGGTTAAGCGTCCGACTTTCGCTTGGGTCATGATCTCGCGGTTCGTGGGTTCGAGCCCCGCGTCGGGCTCTGTGCTGACTGCCAGCTCAGAGCCTGGAGCCTGTTTCAGTCTGTGACTCCCTCTCTCTCTGACCCTTCCCTGCTCACACTGTCTCTCTCTCTCCTAGAAATAAATAAAACATTAAAAAAAAAAAAAAAAGAAAGAAACTGGCAGAATGATAACACTGTACGGAAACACATTTTCTGAGGAGTAGTTAATCCCCCAAACTGGATGTTCAAGGACTACCTGGACAACTACGTGGCAGGGTTATTTACAGTGGATTTCAAGGTAGAAGAGTATGTGTATCTTTATTACCAGGTAAGTGGTGAAACTCAATGATCTTTTGGCTTTTAGGATTCTACATTTAAACTAACTGCCTATCTTCCCCATATCCCAGTTGATGCCTATGGTATCCAGATCCCTTCTCTTCACATTTTTACAACGCATTCTAGCCTTCCTCCTATCTAGCCAAATTCCTCTTCTCCTCTGCCTACCCCAATATGTATAAAGCATACACATTGCATGAATACTGAAAACAAACTCTGTATTATATCTTTTTAAAAATGTTTATTTATTTGAGAGAGAGAGATCATGAGTAGGTAAGGTCAGAGAGAGAGAGGGAGAGACAGAATCCAAAGCAAGCTTGGCCCTGTCAGTGCAGAGCCTGATGAGGGGCTTAGTCTAATGAACCATGAGATCATGACCTGAGTCAAAATCAAGAATTGAACATTTAACCAACTGAGGCTTAGGCACCTCTAAACTTTGTATTTAAAAAAAAAACCTGCTTTCTGGAGTACCTGGCTGGCTCAGTTGGTACAACAACTCTTTCTCTCCAGGTTGTGGGTTTGAGCTCTACGCTGGGTATAGAGATTATGTAAAAATAAAATCTTAAATTAAAAAAAAGAAAAGAAAAAAAGAGAAAGAAAATACTACTTTCTTCCAGGTTTAAAAAAGCAAAAATACTACTTAAAATAAAATGAAAACTTAATTCTCTTAAAATATTCATTAGAAAAAAAGCGCTAAGTTTCATTTTTAAGTGATTTGTGAATCAGTCACTAAGAGTCATGATGGGGGTAGAGAGGTCTTTTAAACCAGAAAGAGAGTGGAATAAACATGGAAAATGTAATGTTGGTTTATATTTGTTCAGTGAGTACTGAATGTATGATACTATATTAAGTAACGTTTAAGTAATATATGATAAGTATTAAGAAGCAGAGCCAACATAGGCATAATCTTAAAGAGAGCTGAGTTATTCTGTGTGGTTTGTCTTTGAATCCTGGTCTCTCCCTTTCCATATCTATAGAGCCTGAGCCTTGGCCCCCATCAGGCTGGGGTTTACCCTTCTTGTACTTGAACTCAGATATCCTGAGTTATACCTCATATTTAGGACCTTTCTAGGTTTCTTCCAAGAGAACAGTGCTTTAAGAAAATATCAACGGGGTGCTTGGGTGGCTCAGTCCAGATGAACGTCTGACTTCAGCTCAGGTCATGATCTCATGGTTTGCGAGTTCCAGCCCTGCATCGAGCTCTGTGCTGACAGCTCAGAGCCTAGAGCCTGCTTCAGATTCTGTGTCTCCCTCTCTCTCTGCACCTTCTGCTTACACTCTGTCTCTCTCTCTCAAAAATAAATAAACATTAAAATTTTTTTTTTAAAAAAAGAAAAAATATCAACAGAAGAAGTCAACCAAAGGTGGAAACTATCCTATAGAAGGACAGAAAGGCAAAGTTTAGGGGTTTAGGTGTTTTTCTGTAAGTATAGCCAGACTAGCCTTTCATGAAGAGGGAGGAGAACAGAGAGAAGACCTAGATACCTAAAGATGCCTAGTCAAACAATAATTTTCATTTTGAACAAAAAACCTACGAAGACACAACCAAATGCCAATAAAGTTCAACCACCTAATTATTCTGAATCCACATTAAGAATCTAATAACACAAAATGCCTAAAGCAATATCATGTAAGGTGTTTACTTATGAAATATCATACTGGAATGATAACCAGAGATAATCTTTACAGAATTTTTTTAAAAAATCAGTTTCAAACTACTTGTAGAATGGAATAACAATTACTTTGAGCTTAGAAACTTGTAAAAAAAGTGTTTTTTAATAAATATTTTAAAAATACAATATAAATACCCTTTTTATTTTTTATTGTTTTAAATGTTTATTTACTTATTTTTGAGAGAGAGAGAAGGAGGGAGGGAGGGAGGAAAGGAGGAGAGAGAGAGAGGGAGACAGAGAATCCTAAGCCGGCTCTGTGCTGTCAGCATGGAGCCCAAGGTGGGACTAGAACTCACAAACTGTGAGATCATGACCTGAGTTGAAATAGTCAGACACTTAACCAATTGAGCCACCTAAGCACCCCTAGATACCATTTTTAAAATGATTGTTTTATTTGGAGAAAGATATAGAATAAAAATTTTCTAACTAGAGAAAATAGCAATGCTTCCTAGGGAAAAAAAAATGAATACTTCTCTTCCCTAGGAAAATTCTTTTCCTTTGTAAATAAGCATCTCTCTTTTTTTGAAGGGAATACGTAAGTTTTAAAAAACTCTGGACTTATTTTTTTGTACAGTAAACAACTGATCTTGATCAAACATGATTATTCTTTTTAATATTAATTATGTTTTTCTTAGCAGAATGCCTTACACACAGTGGGCAGACAAATATTTGACATTTACTAAAAAAAAATGAGTCACTCTTGCTTCAGCTGCAAACTGCTGATCAACATCTTTCATACAAAATATGTTACTGCAAAATTTGCCTCAGACAAACATTCTATAATCCTTCTTGTGCCCCACTGATTTTCAATTTATCAGCAGTGGTTCCTGACTGAACTGTAAACCAGGGCTTTTTATCAGTGTACCATTTATTTGAAAACAATGTTTGAAAATTGCTCTATCCTTACATTCTTTCTTTAAAGTTATAATTTAAGGGCGACAGAACACACAACCAGAAGCATATATACACAAGGCCAATAACTAAACGCACATCCCATTTTGAAGCAGACTGGCTAATGTCAACATTAGATTATAGAATCTGCTCACCTTTTACCTACAGAAAACAGTGAAAAATGATGGCAAAGGTAAAGGCTTAAAAAATTGGGGGGGAATGAGAACCAAAAATCCAGAATATAAAAGAAGCTTCATTCGGAATGCGGGGTCCTAAGATTATCCTTCCAGCAATGATCTAAAAAGCTACCTACCGGGTGGCCTGGTGGCTCAGTTAAGCATCTGACTTCGCTCAGGTCATGATCTCATGGTTCTTGGGTTGGAGGCTGCTTGGGATTCTCTCTCTCTACCCCTCCCCGATTTGTGATTTCTCTCTTTCTCAAAATAAATAAACTTAAAAAACAAAAACAAAAACTGCCTACTGAGAAAATAAGAATGACAAATTTAGAATGATTTCATTTGTTTATGACCAATGTTAGGAGTGTCCCAGCAAGAATGACTAGAAGAAGGGACGAGGCAGAAAATGAACCATCATTTCAATCATCCCAGTCCGTACTGCCACTTCAGTGCTTTCTAGTCTATAAGCCCTAAACTGAAGCGGAGATGTTTTTCTCTTTCTGGAAGAAGTTGCTTCTAAGGTTGCCGAAAATCTCACTGATTCAGGCCTTTTCCCTCTTTTCTGAACTATCCTTTTATATACCATTTTTGCATATAATTTAAATATAGATCTAGAGATGCATGAGGTTTAACCCGTAAGGTACTTACATTCACACTGTATGACATCTAAGTTAAACTGCTGCACGGCTCCCATGCTTATCTGTTTTAACTCACTGTCCAATAGCATCTGCATTAAGGATGTTGACAGATGCTGGCAGGCTGACATGCAAGCAGTCTGGGCAACTTTCCCCTGTTTAAAACAAACATCAAAACCAAAATATAAACAAGCAAATAAGCAAATACAGAAATACACCGTAAAGTAGCAGAAAAATTATATAGCTGACATTCTTTTTGATCCCTTTCTGGTGGTTCAACAGTGATTACTGGCCTTTCTATTTCTGTATTCTGAGTGGTTATGCCTTTGACCATAGGAATTAAAATTAATCTTCTTGTTTACTTGTCCCTCTCAGGACATAAATATCATTAAAGTTCTAATTGCAACCAGGAAATTAAAAGACAGGTAAAAAACACATGAATGATTATTTTAGACCTCTTGAAATGTCTCAAGTATCTTTAAAAATACACATTAAAATATGACATTTATGACATAAAATAATCATCATATTGACAGAACATTTTATTCATCTAATGCTCTTTAAGCTCCCCTTTATATAATCAGCCAAGCTAGAAGAATGTAAGTTAATAAACAATATAATGTACTTTTATTTAAACTGTGCCTAAAAATCAAAATATACTTTGGAGTCATTGTAACATAGCTTCAAGTAGCTTAGGGGGCTTTCCTACCAACATGATTTCAAAATCATCTATAAAGCTACATTTAGTTTTAAAATCATTGGATAATTTAGAAATATATGGTTAAATAAACCACAAATATTTGTGATTTTCTTTCACATTTGTTACATTATTAAATATTTTCCACTATAAGAAGCTCCAAAAAACTACAGAAATTTTTCCTGATAGCCTTAATTAAGGCTACATGTTTCACCTCTAGATTACAAAGCTGAATCACATCATATTACTTTTAGTATAAATTGCTTCTTTAGATGGATTTCTGTATTTCAGTTAAAAGGTTAAAATAATATAAAGACTCTTTCATGTATAGTTTTCCTGTTTAAAATTGCTCCTGATATTGTTCTCTTCAACCTATAATGATGTGATTTGGTGATGGACTAACTCCTGTGATAGGATTCAAAGATCATGAATATAGTCAGAAATAACGACTTTGGAAAATGTGCCATGTTCTGCCTCATTTGCACTAATAAATATTTATTCAGTGCTATTTGATAATTATTCTTTTCCTACTTTCACAAAGGCTAATAAAGTCATGAAAAAAGATCTCCTAAATATAAATGCCTCACTAAATTGGTACAGAAATGTTTTACAAAGTTGATCTGTCAGAAGAGTAAGAAAGAACATAAATAAACTTTAAAGTTATTTATTAGAACATTTGTTCATTAAACTACACATTTAAAGTCAGACTAGAAACAAGGCAATCTTTTTGAGTCTTTAGCATTTAGACACTATGCAGTGAAAAACTGTATCTAAAATGGAATCTCAATTTCTCAATCAAAAACGTTAGAGATAAAAGCCAATGCAAACAATATATCTGACAGATACTGATGAACTGCCAAAAAGGAATGTAACAAACAATGCAAAACCCAGCATGCTTCAAGATCCCCCAAACCCAAGAGGAATTAGTCTGGGAGACATGCAGCTCCATTCCCCAAACACCATAATATCAATATGAATGAGAGGGGGACAAAAACGTAAAAAGAGGAGAAATCAATGGCATGTAATTTAATTATAATGTAACAAGCTTGAGAATACTTAATGGAAATGTAATTTTGACCCAATGGAACAACTACTGCATTTTAGTTTCATGTACTTCTCCATTCAATCAGCTCCATGTTCAACTTATGTTGCCACTATACTAGCTGCAAAACAGATTAATAGGTTGCCCCCTAAAATTACTATTATATTCACTTCTTAAGTAAACACATTGCACAGGGTAAGTGGTATAATTTTAAGGTGATCTTTAAAATTCAACATTGGTTCTGATGCTACAAATGACTATATAATAGTACTGGAGCCAAAAATGATAGTAAGAGTATAGAAATATTGGCTATTCCATAAACTTGGTGGAAATAGGTAATGAAAGCACACATACACACACACACGTGCATGTAAATTTAACTTTTTGTTTAAACAACATATGTAATAATAAAAGCATAATACTAAATTTCTTCTGATTATACATATTAAATATAGGCTACTGCTCTCAAAGATATAAGATTAAAATATTTTACAAATATTTTACAAATATTTACAAATACATCCTCAAGTGAAATACATTCTTTTTTGTAGTTCCAAATTAAAGTTAATATAAAAGGTTTGGATTCTTTAAATAATTTAAAAGTTATATTCTATAAGATTATACATTTAAAAATGTTTAATTTCTAACTATAAAATGTGTACAATTATTCATAAATTTCCATCTATTACTTATATTTAGAGAGAAAAATTTTAATGTTTGAAATATCTGCACACCCAAAAAATGCTTTTGGCAATTCGTTTCTGATGCCTCTATAGCCCTTATACCCTTTGGTATAACAAAACACTCCTTTCTGAACATTATTAATTTTATTATTGACATTTCTAATATTATTATTTTCTAGAACAAAAATAATCTAAGTACTTTTGCAATGATCTTTAAAAACTAGCCTGTTTCATTGGAGATGCTCTGTTTTTCAACAAACAAAATGAAAATACTAAATTTCAAGCACCTAGAAATTCAAGCACCCTCATCTGAAAAATTAATTGTGACTATTATGAACATTTTCTTTCTCTTTAACACAAAGTTCAACAAGTAAGTAAAAACACCTGCCAAACTTTTAAAGGTAACTACTTTTTTACCCTCCTCTAACATTTTGCTGAAAAACAACTTGCAAAGAGAGAAAACCCTTAGACAAACTTCTTATATTTCAAAGGAACTTGTAAAAGAGAATCTGCTGACATATTAGATCCTTTTTGCATTACCCAAAAGCTTTTCTTCTAAGAACAATTGTGGTAAGGAGACATTTGGCTCCTAGGAAATTCCCAAAGGGTCAACCATATGCATCCTTCCATGGCACCTTCACAGCGCTGCTTTCTAGATTCATGTCTCAAAAGCAGCTTTCATCATTTACTTGTGTGTCAGTCAATATGATTTATGGACTGCATTCAACAAAGTCAAAGCATATAGAATGAGAAATATGACTACAATCTGCTAATTTGTTTTGTATTGAGCCACTTAAGAGTCAAAGACCTGATGTCAGACTGAGACCAGCAACACAATTAACCAGTCGGTGACAGATTCATCCATCCTCCCTGCCAGGCTGTGCCAATCAAAGACAGCATGAGGCGACATTTGGTGAAATCAGTAAGAAAACTCATTCTCTAGGCAACCTATGTGAGACCTTGATTGACACTTTTTGAATTTAGTTTGTGGAACACAGCCACTCTGTACCCAATAGTCCCTCACTGCAAGCTGTGAAATACGGCTTTTAATGCCAATCACAGGAACAATAAACCACAAACCACCAACCCTCAGTTTAAAAGGAATCAAGAAAACACATCTGTTTGTATGTCAAGCTAAATTTCTAAAATAATTTACTATTATAGATTAAGCTAAAGATACTCCATTTCCTTTGAAACACCGCAAAAGGACATAGTAACAAAAATACAACACATTTTATTAGATTACTATGGCTCAAAACTGTTTCAAAGTAATGTTTTGATAGATCTACTCTGATATAATAATAGGAGAAATGTAGAATACTTAAAAACTAATTTGATACATTTAAATTTTCATTTGAAGTTTTCATTTCTGTCTCACCATTCTCTTATTTCAAAGATCTAATAAAAAAAGAAAGGTTTGATTTCAACAGTAATTATTTGAAAGAATTTTTCAATGCTGCTTTCATTCTTTCTCAACTACATTTAACAGAAAAATGTGCTCTTGAAATCACAACCATTCTTCAGTATTGGTCTCCCTTCCTTAAAGATCCCAGGAGAATCCATTTTACTCTATTTATATTCCCACAAAAGGTCAACTTTGCACAATAAACTACTTTTTTATTTAAGTAAAAAGAAATATAAAGATATAAAAATATTGAGCATTGAATTTATTGTTCTTTAAATTGATAACAGGTTTTGTTTTAAAAGGTTACATAACTCTTGTCAGAAAAAAAAAGGAAAAACTGAAATAAAATCATGGTCAATTTGAATATTAACTCTAACAGTGGCAACAGAACTTATTAACTAATTCTAATTCTGTATGGATTTTTACAATTATTTGTTATTAATTTTTTAAACTGTTTAAAGCAGTAAAGTATTGCCATATTATTCTACCTCACTGCTTCTCTGTTTGCTGCATAAATTTCAGTTGAGACTGTGAAATAGTCTTTTCAAAGGAAAGGCAGAAGAGAAAAGGAAGTATTAATGAATTGGTCAGTCTCCCAAAGAGCCACAATGCATAGCCTCTTTAAAAACAAACAGACGAAGAGTGAAGTCTTTGAACAAATGTGAAATAAACACTCAAATAGAAATAAATTCCTAATTGAAAAAGGAGAAAAGATGCCTAGTTGAAAAATAGACATTTTAACTTAAGAAATTTATTATTCTCCCATTTTATATAAGAACCACTAATCTAAAGTTTTACCACATAAAACTACATCTTACTCATATGTAAAGAATGTTATTAAATAAGTCATGAAAAAACATACTTAAAACATTAGAATATATCAAAATTTCTCCAAGATGACTTCACAAATGCACAAAGATTCTTCTATCTCATAAAATAGGCTTCGTCTGAACACTGTAATACTGACATATAGGACACTGAAATGTCTCAGATTCCCAATAATACAGAATGGATGAGTTAGAAAGGCTTAAATATCAAGATGAATTCTTTCAGTGAGTTTTAATAACTTTTTAACAGTATCTTGAAGACAGATTTTTGAGATTATGCCAAAAACATTCATGGGTCTATCAAAATATACTCTAAACACCTCCAACATTCTCCAAAATACCTCTTTTACACCTCTATAGTCCTCTCATACTCTTTCTATCTCCACCTAAAGTGGCTCTAGCCCCAAAAGATTTGGTTCTCAGGTCAGTTAACCATAATCCCATAGTGAATTAGGAATTCTCATTCTTCCCTCTCAGGCTTTTCTCCTCTAATGAATCCCA